TTTTTGAAAAGCAATCACAATAACAGAGGATAACTACAGGAGGGACTTCTCTGATATTAGGCAGATAGAAGTATGTGCCTCTGCGTTATCTGCATCACCAACGACCAGGACAATACTGCAAATAGCTTTTAAAATAGTGCCGTATCCTTGAGAGAAGTTCCTGCATACTTTTGAACTTCAGCTGATCTTCTCGAAACTCCCTCTGACACCTGCTGCCATGAAGTTAAACAGCGCACCTGCTCGTGTCTGCTCTCTCTGCCCTGACAGGTCCAGGTGTGTCCCGACTGGGTCAAACAGGGCGGACTGGACCCCCTCTCAGGACCCCCCCCCCCCCGAAACCCCCCCACAGGACCCCCCCTGAAGGACAGAACAGCTGCTCTGGGCCGCTGTGGAGCTCCTCAGTGCAAAAGGATTCCAGCTATGTCTCCATTAGCCCCCCGTGAGCATACATACGGCTCCAAAAATATCCCAATTAACGTCACAACACAAGCCCCGCCCCCTTGACCCCCGCTGCCCCCCCCCCCCCAAAGTACACACATCCTTTACTCAAGTAGAAGTACAGATACTCGTGTTTAAAAATACTCTGGTGAAAGTAGAAGTACTGACTAAACTTCTTTACTCAAGTAAAAGTAAAGAGGCTTTGAAATGTACTTCAGTAAAAAGTACCCATAACTAGCAGCTGTTTTAAAGAGTACCTGACCTCCCTTTATATTAATAGAACAATAATGTCATTGTTAGCTAATGAATGTTTCCATGCTGAACAACGGCAACATGACAACGTTTTCATTGGTCCCTCTTCTTTAGAGAAGACCAGGAAATGATGGATACACGGATCGTGTTCAAATCAATAGGCACGCAATGACTCTAAATAATAATGATCACGCCACCAAACACACATTCAAACTAAAGGAACCAGCCTGTTTGGGAAATGTGAGAAGTAGAAAGTACAGGTATTTGGGTTCAACATGTAAGAAGTAGAAAGTACAGGTATTTGGGTTCAACATGTAAGAAGTAGAAAGTACAGGTATTTGTGTTCAACATGTAAGAAGTAGAAAGTACAGGTATTTGTGTTCAACATGTAGAAGTAGAAGTATGAAGTAGAAAGTACAGGTATTTGTGTTCAACATGTAAGAAGTAGAAAGTACAGGTATTTGTGTTCAACATGTAAGAAGTAGAAAGTACAGGTATTTGGGTTCAACATGTAAGAAGTAGAAAGTACAAGTATTTGTGTTCAAAATGTAAGAAGTCAAAGTAAAAAGTCGTCAGAAAAATAAGTAGTGGAGTAAAGTACTGATACCAGAAACATGTACAGTAACAAAGTATTTCTACTCCATTACTTCCCACCTCTGCCCACCCCCCCTCCCCCCTCCTCACATGTGTGTGAACCAATCATAAAGGTCAGGGTCCTTCTCCTCCCTTTTGAAGTGCTCACTCCCAATGTGGGCGATAATCTGCGATGAGTCTGAAATGCCAATTACAAACAACGAGGGGTTTAGAGTCTGGATGTTACCCTGGGAGAATATTTCCACTGAGGAGGCAGACAGAGAGGAAGCAGGGCAGATTAGTTTGGGAAAGTTAAAGCTAGGTGTTGTTGCTCTGTAACTTTGGGAAAGACAAGAGGTCATGGTGGATATGGGAAACTGTTTTATTTCAACATTATTCAACTTCCAACAAAGCTAAATCAGTCATTTTAATGAGTAAAAGCATTGAAACCTGCTCTTTTCTCTGCATCAATTACAGTTTTCGTACCCCTACAACCACCTAATCCCCTAATTTGGGAAATGATAAATACAATAAATAATAATTAGACAGAGAAACAAATAAAGCTCAATTTAAAGCCAGTAAAAAAGGTAAATTATAATATAAAATTATACAAATAAATACATAAATGTAACTAGACTCAAAAGCTGTCTCGAGTTTGCTTTTAAAAATATCAGCCATTGGTTAAAAAGGCTTCAATAAAGTAGAAATAAAGTGAATATGGTTTGGCTGCAGGTGTCTGTCTTCGTGCTGCGTTCACAGACGCTCTGACGTCATCGGACGTTTCAGCGCTGCGGCTCAGATGTCGCTCTGCGCTGCACATTATCATGACATCACTTTCTCATTCACGATCCCACTCAATAAGGCAAGGACACGCACACGCACACCACACGCACACGCACACACACACACACACACACACACACACACACACACACACACACACACACACACACACACACACACACACACACACACACACACACACACAGGAGGTCTTAGCGAGGGTCCCATTGTGAATGCATTTGTCAGCCACTATTCTGTGGGGAAACTCTGGCAGGGGCCCAAGGTCGGCCAGCTCATGGGACTAAATATATTACAAACAGGCCGTAATGATCTGTAAATAAAAATATATGTATGACAAGGCACTACTGGCACTCTATTAAAACTATTTAAAATACATTCAATGCAAGAGATTAGTTGATATTCTTCAAAAATGTACAACAGGGTTCCGGAAACTTCCAAAACATGAAATTCAAGGACTTTCCAATAAGATATGTACATGCTAAATGTAGGCAAACACAACAAATGCCCCTATAAAATACCAGAATGAACTAAGGAGTGAGAAAATAAAGGCATAAAAAGATTATAAATGTATTTGTATCACCCTCTTCTGATGCTGCCCTCGGTGTGCCCTTGTGTTACACCTCTTTAACCCCCGAAGGATTTGTACCCTCACTATTTGTGTAGTATTACATGTCCAGCGCTGCCTTGTTAAACTCAGCTTACCTTTTACATGAACTGAACAGAGTGCAGAGGACACGCCGTGGCACTGAGATAAAGACACACACACACACACACACACACACACACACACACACACACACACACACACACACACACACACACACACACACACACACACACACACACACACACACACACACACAGACACACACACACACACACACACACACACACACACACACACACACACACACACACACACACACACACACAGCACCTGTAAGTTTGATCTGATCTAAAAGTACAGAAAACATTTTGCTTTCCTCATTTTTTTTTGGCAGAGTTTTTAGCTGCAAATTTTAGCACATATTCTCCGAGCTGTTACAACACTCTTTAGAGAGGAAAGACAAGACTTAAATCCAGCTGGCTCGATTTGTTAAACACACACACACACACACACACACACACACACACACACACACACACACACACACACACACACACACACACACACACACACACACACACACACACACACACACACACACACACACACACACACACACACACACACACACTCACACACACACACACACACACACACACACACACACACAGACACGTATTTGTGGCGTGAGAAGTCGTCCTCAATACCTCGATTTTCGTCAATTGCTCTCCTGGAACAACAAACCATTTTTTCTGCACCCACAACAAGCTCATTACCTGCAGCCTGTGCAAACACCTTGACAACTGAGCAAACACACTCATTCATGCACGGTAAACACTTCCTAAAAACATGGCTGGAGGAGGGTGTAGCCAAAAAAAAGAGTCAGTGGACTTAAGGTCAGACTTCTGGAAGAGATTGGTTATTTTGACTTTTTTCTGGGTCAGTCACGTCTTATCTTAAGGGTCTGAAAACGTTGTGAAAACCCTGTTTGACTCACGTTATGTGTTTTTAAGTCTTGGTATATTTAGTTGTTTTGCAACCAGCAGTAACACGAGAGGGATTAGCAAAGTACGCTCATGGAGATATTGTTTTCATTGGCATTGGACTGGTTTGCATGCACAGCGAGTCAAATATTTATGGAGATTTTAAGCCACTTGAATTATAGTAAGAAGTATCTCATCACACATTTGATCACCCTAACCCATCGGAGCATCTGAAAGTTGTTCTTTCACATTCACACAGTGGGAAATATTCGAGAGACTAAACGATGTGACGCAAGGAGCTTTAAAACATCAGACATGTGTTGATGAAGGCCAGGGTTTTCGTTTCCAAAACAAGACGTGAGCTTTCGTTTTGCACGTGTCGTATTTGGATAAAGTTACTTAAAGGGGACCTATCATGCACTTTTGTATGTCTTTTCTACATGAATATGTGTCCCCGGTGTTCCAGGGAACTCACCAAGTGTCAGAAAACACAACCCTCTCTATTTTCCTCCATACCCAAATCTCTAAAAAAGGGGCTGCAACGGATCTGATCAAAACTGATCCAGATTTGAACACTGTCCTGACGTCAGGACGGTGGCGCTACGGCTATTGGGCCAACTCCACCAATCAGGAGGAGACAGCCACGGCCATTGCCGTTCGAAAGCGCTGGAGACGCTGTAGTACATATGCCAGGCCTGTAGGTGGTGCTGTTCTCACTGAATCTGCCCAGAGCTAGAAATTGTCAAATTGAGCGAAATGAGGCATGGCTAAAATGCATGATCTGTTTGGTATTTTGAAAAAAAAAAAGTATAAATATGCCTTATATAGGTATGGTCCTACACTATATTATTCAAATATACCATGATAGGTCCACTTTAAGATTAACTTTGCCAATGTTCCAATTTTTACAGCAGATCTTTTATAATATAATACATCTACATGTCTTGACGCTGTTCTTCATATAGCCTGTCTATCAATTGTATAGACAGGCTATAGACTTTTTGCACTACTTATTATTTTGTATTTTATTATATATGTGGCTTTGTTGGAGGAGCTCAGGTCAGAAGAATGTCATTGCCATTTCTACTCATTTCTACTCTGTAGCTCATGACAATAAAACCTTTGAATCTTGAATCTTGATACAGCCTGTCTATCTATTGTGTTTGAACATATGACTGGAATTTCTCCCAATTGTCCGGGAAATCTGACCACCACATGTTTTCTTAACATAAACCCTGATGAAGGTGAGTTTCTGAAGGTCAGATCAAATGCACGCTGAAGGCTCTTTGATGTTACACATGATCTGACCATTAAAGTATTATCGTATCGTATCGTATCGTCACCTGGTTGGTAGAAGTTCGGGGCGAGCTCTCTGGCGACGGCTCGGGCGATTTCTGAGTCGTGCACGGCAGAGATGGCGGACTGATCTGCAGCTTCGCTTTTTGTCCTGGCATGAGCCGTCCTGGAGGAAAACACAAGGAGACAGAGAGAGACGGTGTTAGACATGCACGATAACTGAGAGGTTAAAGAGGGCGAATGGAGCTGTGAATTCACGTGGATTAACCCGGAATAAATGTTGTGTACGGTTTCTTAAAAGGCCGGGATTACATCATCGAATGTCTTGTTAATAAATACACCAAAACAAATATTTAACAGCGCTGCGACCATTACATCATCCTCAGTTTCTCTCCACTATCCCTCCTCCTCTTCCTCCTCTTCCTCTTCCTCCCTCTCTTCCTCCTCCTCCCTTGGGGATAACACCTCCTCCCCTTCGCTTCTATCTCAAATCCCAATCCTGATTCTCCAAATGGAGCGCAGCCACATCCAAGCTAGACCTTAATCCAGTCTGCACACACACACACACGCACACACACACACACACACACACCACACACACACACACACACACACACACACACACACACACACCACACACACACACACACACACACAACACACACACACAACACACACAGCACACACACACATTATATCATCCCATATATTCAGCTGGTGGTGTAGTGAATGCTCAGATCTGAACTCCAGTCAGCTTTAAGGCTGAAAATAACATTTTTATTATCAAACAATCGGCCGACTGCTTTCCCGTTTAATAATTTTGTCAAAATGTTTTAGAAAGTCAGATACAAACCCAAATATATTCACTTTTATATTATAAAAAAACTGAGAAAAGCAGAACACCTGACATGTCATTATTTACAAAGACTGTATCAAAAATGTTGGTGATTATTTTTCTGTCTATCGACTTAGTGATGCAGGTTTCTGGGGATTGATAAGGTATAAAGCTGCAGTATTTGATAAATAAATAATAACAAAAAGACAACATTTCTAATATCGTGAGACCTATAACGGCAGAAGATGAATACTTGATGTTCTTAGCATTAGCATGGGTAGATACAGTGCATGCAAACACGCTCTCACAGAGACATACATATATGTAACATCCAGACTCCATTATGATTATGCAACATTATGAAATGCATCAGTTAAATCCACTGGATTAGATCCCTATCCCCTTTCTAACATGAACACCTGATCAAAATAAGCATTACACTCTTTTACCACGGTGTTCTGGTGTTAGCAGACATAAAGTAACCGTAACAATTGAACTATTTAGTCTCCCTTTCAAACTTCAAACGAGAGTTAATGGGTTTTGAAAAGTGGAAAAAAAGACACTTTTGATGAGATTTCTTCAGTTTCTGAGTTTGAATAAAGTGTGTTTTTATGAAAGTCTGTGGAATAAAATGACTGTTTCTGTTAATGGAGTCTGGTGGCTTTGAGTAGAGCATATGTATTGATCTGTATGTATCTTAATAAATTGTTATTATTGTCCAAAATCCTGATGATTTTATTGAACAGATTGCACAAATGTATTGTGTATTGAATATGTACTTGAATTAAATTACTTTTCTCTTGTTCTGGTACTGTATTCATATAAGTTCTTATCTTTTAAATATCATATATCTTGAAAGCTATTTATCTTACAGTGTCTAGATACTTCACTATAGGATTTGAGGTCTTTGGGTAGGGGTCGAACCAACTGTCTTTACTTGACTGCATATATTAACATGTATTTGGTTGAAAAACTAATTAAATCACTTGAAATACTGCAGCATTGCGCCGGAAAGTGTTGAAATGAATGCAGAATGTAACCTTCCCGTCTGAGGACATAAAGCAGATGTCAGGGTATTTTTCTGGAGGGTAAGGGGCTTTACTGTACACAGAGGGTGGATCTTATACAATGCATGACGCTGCACTGTGAAATGCAGATGGCTGAATCACTGTAAGTATTGACAGCTGTGCCCGGATTAACCCTCTCATCCATCTTCCTCTCACCCTCGCTTCTCTTTTTCAATCAATGCTGCTGTTTTTCCTCCATCCTTCTTCATCTGGCTATTAATGCAGCTTCCTCTCACCCCTCCTCACCCTCTGTATTTCTGTCAGTGACCCCAGCGGACAGATGTCTCTATTTCAGACTCTGGACTCTGAGCTGTCCTGTTTTTGACGAGACATTAAAATGCATGAGCAGCCATATGCTGGCGTTAGAGCCGGACAGCTTCCCGATGACAAAGGACGCCCTCAGACTGTGTTTATTACAGCCTGAACAGCTGCAGATACAAATAAAATCCAAGAAATTATAATAATATCACACAATGCTTTGCTTCTCGAACACGTCGCGCTAAAAGCAGCTTCATGGTCTCATAGTTAAGAGCGCTTCCCTGTTAAAAACTGACATTAAAGCATTCCTGTTACATCACAGCGCTGACATGCACACCGCAGACGTCCACATGCTACAGCAAGGACATACATGCTTCTATTTCTGCAATGTGTGAACTGTGCAGGCAAAGGAAAGGCGTCATGAATGCGTTCGGCGTGCCCATGACATGTCTCTGGGGATCTTAACAGTTCCCTTTAGGTGGGCATGAAGTCACGGGCGGACAGGAAGTGCTGCAGACGGATCAGAGACAGGACGTCTGGTGGTGGGAGGCGGGGAACGCAGAGAGGAGAGGTGTGATCGAGCAGAAAGAGTGAAAGGAAAGGCGAGAAAACATGGGCATGTGGAGCGAGGAGACGAGAGGCTCGGCTGGGTCTCTTCCAGGAGACGCTTTTAATCAAACTAGCACCTTCCACAATGCACGGACTGTCAAACCTGTGATAATGCTTTTTTTTTTTGGCCACTTGGGGGCAGTGCAACAAGCTGGGAACAAATAATTGATACTGAAGTTCAACAGTGCACTAATAAGTAGTAACTAGTAAGACTCTCCGCCATCAACTATGTGCAGAAGTTGCATTAAAACTGACAAACAAAGTTTTTAGGTAGAATTATGTTTTGCAATGTCACACTTTCAAGGCTAAAGTCTGGATAAACAACAGCTTGTGAGATCACGAATGACCTTTAACAAAGTTTTAAGGTCTGTAAGTTGTCAGACAGTGTGAGGCCGATCTGCCTCTGAATACAAAACAACACCTGTTCACGGAGGGATGGGCGCAAGCAAATACAGGCATTTACATCCATAAAGGCACCTGCTGGCACCTATGCAAATATCACGCACACGCACACACACACACACACACACACACACACACACACACACACACACACACACACACACACACACACACACACACACACACACACACACACACACACACACACACACACACACACACACACACACACACACACACACACACACACACACACACACAGTGTAGAAAGTAGAAAAGGCTTTGAAGAATTCCTTTTGGAGTGAAGCCCTGATTGAAAAAGGGTATTGATGAAAGCCTGGATGTTTCATTAGTGAGACAAATGACTAGTGTGAAAAGTGTTGAGTCAGTTTGGCAGTCAGTGCGGTGGGCGCGGCGCTCTCTCTCTGAGGTGTGTGTGTGTGTGTGTGTTTCAGATAGAGCATGAGGGTGGGGACAACAAAGAGAGAAATGACTAAACACTGCCAGAGAGAGAGAGGGGAATGGAAGTGGACATTAGAGATAGAACTGCAGAGAGAGAGAGAGACCCTCTGAAGACTTCTGGGTATTTATTACTGCTGAGGTATGCATCGCAGCTCCTCTAATTTTACTGGAGGGTTAAGTTTCAGACCCCAGCTGGCATGCAGAGTGGTGCATCTTCTTTTAAAGCTTTTCATTCCCCTGCCACCTGCAGAAGACAATGTTTATCTGAAGCAAGTCGATGCCAAAACTCACATGACGGTCTCTCTGTTTTTTCAACAGTGGAAATCTTTTATTAGAAATCCTTGTCTTTGTCCTACAGTGAGGAGATTTACAATGTTTCAGCAAATACATTGAGTAGACTAAAAAGGACTAATGGCGTCCTGTCGTCTCCTTTGTATCTTCTGAAAATGCTATATTGTGAACAAGATATCCTAGTAAGAATCTGCAGGAGGAGGGCTAGTAACGTTAGCTGTTAGCAGTTAGCAGCCAGTAGTTTATTGCTAAGAACAGGAAGCTAATAGCTAACGTAAAAGGAGAATGCATTGAGTAACATTGCCAGAGAAACTTAAAGTGGACCTATCATGGTATATTTAAATGATATATTGTAGGGCCATACCTATATAAGGTATATTTATACGTTTCTGTTTTCAAAATACCAAACAGATCATGCATTTTAGCCATGCCTCATTTCGCTCAATTTGTACTTTTTTTAGCTCTGCTCTGCAAGGGCAGATTCAGTGAGAACAGCACCACCTACAGGCCTGGCATATGTACTACAGCGTCTCCAGCGCTTTCGAACGGCAATGGCCGTGGCTGTCTCCTCCTGATTGGTGGAGTTGGCCCAATAGCCGTAGCGCCACTGTCCTGACGTCAGGACAGTGTTCAAATCTGGATCAGTTTTTATCAGATCCGTTGCAGCCCCTTTTTTAGAGATTTGGGTATGGAGGAAAATAGAGAGGGTTGTGTTTTCTGACACTTGGTGAGTTCCCTGGAACACCGGGGACACATATTCATGTAGAAAAGACGTACAAAAGTGCATTTTGGCATGATAGGTCCCCTTTAAATAATGCGGCTGTTTGAAGGAGGAATTATGACCTTTAACTTAAACTCCTGTTAGCACAATAAAGCATTCAAACTCAGCAGTGCACACTCCTGTTTGCATGTTGAAGTGCATGAGATTTATTGCTCTGTTTGTGTTTTTTAACATAGTATCAAATTGAGGAATGTAACTGGTATAGGTATCGACTGCTTAAATATCTGGTAATGTGACATCCCGTGGTGTACATTCCCTCGAGAAGCTTTAGTCCCAACCCCCCCCCCCTGAACCCAGGCTATGGCCTATTTGAAGAATCTCCCTCATATATGCTGACACAGTTTTGCTCCACCCCCACCTCCGCTTTGACTTCTTCCAATAACGCCCCCTCCTTTCCATCAAACCCCTCCTCGGTACCTGGAACGCTGACTGCTACAGAATATAATAAGACAGAGGATGAG